ATATGTGCGTGGAGCTGTGAGCAGGCCGATCGGCAGTGGATCATGATGCGACGCTGTTTGCAAAGAGAAGAGCGAAAAAGAAAAACTGTTTGAGAAGAATCGAGAAGAATACGGCGAGGCCGGAAACGCATCGCATGCGAGCACCTCCTCGCAGCTGTGCGTACTATATTTCACACAATGATAGTGTAGGACGCGAATGGACTCCTGGCATCTCTCTCTGTCAGGCGCCGACACCTACGCGCCCGTCACCCGCCCCTATACACCTCGCTCACTTCCCACCGGAGTGACCTCCCCGTTCCTCCCGCGCCCTGACCTGACGGACACGAGAGCAGAGCGAGTGATGATAAATAATAAGACTCCGGATGTGGCCAGTCCCGGCCGTGGCGGTGAAGAGCCTAATCAATGAAGGCACACGGCGCCACACGGCCCCGGGGGTGCGCCAGCGCTCTCTACAAAGTAACGAGAGAGACAGAGAGAGACAGAGAGAGACAGAGAGAGACAGAGAGAGACAGAGGGAGAGAAGGAGAGAGACAGAGAGACATGTTCGCGGCCAATTACGGCGCCGTGTGCCTCACTAAATAAATACCAAAATAAACCAAAACGATTGGGCAAGACGTATCAGCCGCGGGAGGGGTCTTGGTCTCTCCCTTTCTCTCTCGCACACTCTTTCTCTGCCTACCTCCCACTCTCTCCCTCTCACTCTCACACATACGCGCGCGCACACACACACTAACACAGGTCAAAGAATCCCGCAACGGACATAAATAATATTCAGAACAAGGAAGTCGGATCCTTTGGCTTGAGCAGAAAGCAACGGTGAACTCTTTGAGGTGCCGACAATTTCTCATGCTCCTGCGGCTTGCAGCAGCCAGCTCCAACTCACCGCCGCACAGCGCGAATTGTATGTATAGGTGCGCCTTTCAGCAAAGAAGAATCGCAGACGGATGGGCACACGGCGCGCTGTGAATAAGACGCATACTACTCCGCCAAAGAGTGAAAATTGCATTTCAAATGAAAGCGGGGCACGGTCGTCGGTACATTTCGATATCGAATCGATATCGAAACGGGCGGCGAGCAGGTTTCGGGCTGTCCGTCCGTCTGGCCGCCTCGTTACCCACGGCTCGGCAAGCCGCCGGGTGTACGGTAATGTGTCAGAGGTTCTCATCGGGCCGCTCAAAGGCGCCGACCGCCATCTCCTCCCCGCCCCCCAGGCAACGGAGCGCCATCCTCGCGACTAACACGTTAGGCCCTATAACGATACACAGTCAACAATTATCCGCACTCACTCACCATTTTAAAACGGCATCATTATGAAAATTTTGCACCTCTCACCAGCACGATAGTTTGACGTGTGGCTTCAACTCAAGCGCGGAAGGAATTTTTAATACATTAATGATATTGAAGTGTTTATGTTATCAAAGGCGCTGTTTTCAGGGTGCATAATGATATTACAGTTGCACGTTGTACGTTTTGTACGTCTCAATGCCACGTATCGAGGACATTTTGTTCACTTTCGCTGGGGGGAAATGATGACGAATAAGCTCGCAAAATAAGAAAGAAAGAAAGAAAAACGAAATAAATAAGCATGTATGAATGAAAACGGGGACACATACACACGGAGATGGTTTTTCGGCAGGGCCCGCCTGTTTTGTTTTTTGCCCTTTTCTCCTCCCACTGTGATGAGCGCGCGCGCGGCTCTCTGACGGACGGCCCCGGATCATTTCTCAGAAATTCCGCGAGCAGCGTCAAATTGTCTGGCGAAGCAGCAGCAGCAGGCTGCGGCGGCGGCACATCTCGGGCAGGTGACTCAGCCCCCTCACCCGGGCAGAAACTCAAGGAAAAACACACAGAATAAATCCAAACCGAGTCCAAGCATTAATACTGTTTCGAGTACAGTCCGCCCACGGCTGGGACA